TCCTCTGAAGATGCCAGCCACAGAGACTGGCGAAACATTAGGAAGAACAACCTCCAGAACATGGCCAAAGAACCTGAAAAACCCACAACAACTATTAGATCCCGGCCGTGAAAGCCTTCGCGAATACACAGAGTATCCCTGCCTTGATATATAGATGAATCCCCACGTACATTTTGTTTATTTCAGAATGGGGAGAAAACACCCCACCCAACTCTGCCACCGTGTGCCTTTGTGAGGTGAATTCCCAACATACATGCAGGCGTGCGTACACTACTCTGGGATGAAAAGAATTGTCTTCTATTCTTTAGAGAGGACCGCATTCAACAAGTTTAAACTCGGATTAAATGCGAAGTTTCACTGCATGAAAATCAACATTTAATCTGTCTTTTGAAGTTGGTGATCAATGGATTTCAGGTGTTCTACAGTAGTAGCTGCCAATGAACAGGGCTGGGTGCAAAGCACAAAGCAGTTTAAAGATGTTTTGTGTTAAGTAGTCATTCCAAATTGTAAAAGAACCTCTCCTCGTTCTGGCTAAGCATGCAATTCTCTGCACCCTTTCCTGGAAGCAAGTCCCCTTGAACCCAGTGGGATTTTCTTCCAAAAGCCATGCTGCCCAATTCCTGTGAGGCACCAGAACTCGCTTGATTGGAGCGAGTCAACCATCTAAGATGACGGAGAGCTGCCTTGGAGTGATGGCAGATCTGCTATGACCCATTCACCACCCCCTGAACCTCCACTGCCTTTGCCCACTGTTGTTATGCAGGAACCCTTACAGGGGAGGGAGGGAGGGAGGGAGGGTGAAGGAGAAAGAGCTGACAGTGGCAGCAGCAGCAGCAACAACAACTATGCATTTCTTCGAATCACCACTGGCTCATCTTTGAAGCACAGCTGGCTGTTTGCCTAAAGCCTTGGGTCTTTCACACCAGGGCATTGTGGGATGCCAACAGCCCATTGCAGGGTCCAAAGGTGACTTGGAAGCCAGCACTGATTCAAAACAACCTGCTGCCTGTATTCTTGTCTTCCTTCCTTTCCTCCCCTTGTAAATGTTCCCATGTAGCATCTGTGAGGGCAAGAGGAACTGGAAGGAGACGTGGTCAGTGGAAAGCACGAAGCCACAGAGGAGAGTGTGGGACCGGGGCAGTGTTGCTTTTCCCACCTCAGGTGACAGAAGAGCTTGTGCTGGCCGTGTGAGTGTCACAGGCTGAGTGTTTGTGTTGACACCTACCATCTCTGTGTGTATCCTATTGGCACAGCCCCCCCCACTCCCTTCCTTTGTCTCTCAGTACTTCTGCAGGCTGTCATACTAATTATCCATTTTCTTTCCATTCCTGGAAACTGGCATTTGTTGTTCTGAAAGTTTTCAAAGAGCTAGGCTTGTGAGTCTGTTTAACAACAACAGATTTCTGTAGCATCACTGGGTGCTCTTTAAAATAAACTGGATTTAAATCTATGAAAGCTCATGCTGTGAAATAGATTAATTTTAAAACTGGCATAAGACTCCTCCCTCCCTCCTCCCTCTTTTCACTCATATTCAGGGGTGAGGCAGACTCCCCATCATTGAATAGCTATGGTCAGTACCTTGTATCCTGTGGAACCTAAAGACCATCTCCAATAGCTTACTCAAGAGCAGGACTGAACAAAAAATTCAGTCTATATTTTTTAGGGATAACAATAGCAGTTCAAGTTTTTTTTCCTCAAGCAAATGGCAATTTTAGGTGGAAAGGGGTGTGTGTCTTGATTTCTTTGTAATCACAGATGTGTTCGGAATTAGCAACTAAAAGGTTTGGCCATGCATCTGTGGTCACCTCAAGGCATAGTACTTGGTCTTGTTATTCATCTTTTTTTTTGCTGCTGCTGCTGTTTTGGCTGCCATTTTGAATACACGGACATTTCCAGCTGTTCCAAGTCTTGGCTGCATTTTCCATAGAGAAGAAGCAGAGCAATGGTTGGCTATTCGATGGCAAGTCCCCCCCCCTTTTTTTTGGAAAGTGCACTTGAGCCACACTTCTGTGGCATACCTTTCTGTAGTGTGTATCCTTGTTACTGACATTTAAAAGATATTGCTACTGATTTCTCATTAAGTTCATACATTATTTCTCAAGGCTGTTCTGCTTCTTCAGGGAAATTGATATTTTGTCTGACACTCTTGAGATTTTTTTTTCATTGATGATTTTGTTTGGAACCAGCATTTGTCTACACTAGTATAGATGTTGTGGGTGATGATTTTTCTAGTCTGATTAAGTGTGGAATTCCAGCAAAAGCAAAAAGGTGTTCTGCTTACATACCACCCCATAGCACTGAATGCACTCTCTGGGTGGTTTACAACTTAATTATGCAGGCTACACATTACCAAACCTCTCCCCAGCAAGCTGGGTACTCAGTTTACCGATCTCAGAAGGATGGAAGGCTGACTGAATCTCTAGTTGGCTATCTAGGGTTGGACCTGCATCATGAGCAGAGTTTTGGCTGCAGTACTGCAGTGTAGCCACTGCTCCACAAGCATACAGTAATACATTTATCAGGTGTTAACAAAACATGATTGTACCACTGCTCAATTATGGATTACTTCAGATGCCATTGTGTTCATTGCTCTTAAAAGTAGCTTTCAATCTTTGCTTGGGAGGGTATTCCATTGAAGTAAGTAGTAAGTCATAGTAAGGCTTTTGAATAAGCGTACATTGAGATCAGGCTGGCAAAGGCAGCAGTCTTGAGTAATGAGATTTGAAGACTGAAATGATCAGCAGCCATCTTGTAAAATATTGATTTTCTTTGTGGCATACGTTCAGTGCAGGAACAACTGTTGTCCAGTGCTTAACATGAATGGATAACATTGTAGATTGTATATATAGCATTGAAGTTCTACTTAAGAAACAGAAAACTAGTAGTGGCGGAAATGGTTTTGAATGTTGGATCTCTGCTCCTAGAGTGAATTATCTGGACAGGATTGGATGTGGGACGATCATATTCAGTACTTATTTGATTCTTGAATGTTGCAATCAAATATATGAATAAATCCCACTTATAAGAGTATACAGCAATATGAAATGAGATAGGCTTGCGTAGTAGAAGATGGGCAAGATAAATATGAAGTGTGCTTGTTGCACAGACACCTGGTTTAGATGGTACTGTATTTTTTAAAAACTTTTCTATGCAAACTGGAAAATCTGGATTAAAGTCTTAGCACAAATATATCAGTCACTGTTGGTCTATTTCTCAGTGCTTTTTTTAGAGCCTACTGACAAGAGTTTGGATCTCAATGCATTTAGGAGCCTAAAATATCAGCTGCAGCTACAAATTTCTTGTGGTGGAGCCAACAATTGATTAGTAAAGACTTCAAGCAGCAGCTGCTAGGACTTGTGGAACTGCTGCAGAGGGTTTGAAGTGACAAATAATTTGGCAGAGAAAAGTTTACTGTAGAAAGTTACTGAACTAGACAGATTTCTGAACACATTTTTTTCTGTTTGCAGGAATCAGTACTCTTTTGGGTACAGGTATTTCATTCAAATATTTGTGAAAGTTACATGCTAGAATACTGTACAGTATACTGTATAGGAAACTAATGATTGTTTTATAGGGTTGTTTTATAGAATGATCTCTAGATGGAAAGAAGCACATTATTACACATGCTACTTGCATTCTGCAGAATGCTTGGTATCTACTAAATATGTGTCTTCAACAAAGTTTAAGTAGACTGAGCTATACGATAGTATAGGTGTGCAAATGAATGAATTATTGTGGGAAGAGGAAGAGGAATGCTACCCCCACCCCCACATGCCAGCCCAAGTTCCACCATCTCTCAACTGCAGCTCTACCCATGGGCAGGCTGTCCTCATGCGTTGCAGAAGACAGAAATATTGCAACCCTTATTAAAGGGAAGTGCCCACTTAATTCCTAAAAAAAAAAAAAAAAAAAAGGCAAAGCCATTGACCAATAGGAAAGGCTGGTGTTTTTTGTTGTTGTTTCCCCCCCACCACCCATTTTTTTCATTTTATTCAGAAATAAAAGAAAAAAGGTGGCCTGGCTCCTAGTTCCTTCTACTTTAAAAAAATGGTGTGTGATCATTATTTTAAATTAAGACCTTAAAATGGACAATAACATTCTTGGAGGTGGGATTTTACATTTGGGAGGAAATTGAAGGCTTCAGGGAAGTCATACAGAATTTTTGGGTACAGGGAGACTTGTAGCTTTATGGATTTCATTTCACTCTTCCTTGTTATAAACTGGTACTCAGCTTGAAAACGAATGTCCTAACTCATTATAAGAGATTTCTGCATTTTTAGGTGGACTTCTTAGTCTTGGATGGGGAAATTTTGGCCCTTCTGATGTTTGGGACTTCAGTTGCTAGAAGCCCCTAGATAGTATACAATAGTATGGGTGTTATAATGCAAAACATATGAATACCCTAGACATCTTCAGTTAGAATTAGTGCAGGACATTGTTTCTTCTGAGGTGCAGTTTGGCCCTTCCCCGCTCCCATGTGTCCTCTTAAGTAATTTATGGTGATTCCATTATGCGTGGAGTACGCACATATGTGTAGTAGTGCTAGGAGTCAGTTTGAAAGATGGGGGTGCATTCTCCTTCCTTCCTTGGTTTTCCAACTGAATTGTGTGACTCAGAAAAAACCCTTCTTCAAACATAACTAAGTCTTAATCCTTGAATATATAGAAATTTCAGGACAACTGTGAGAGGAATCCTTTGAGGAAAGGCACTTTTACAGAATGGAATGATGGAAGTCTGGGTTTGTTTGTTTGTTTGTTTTGTGGTAATCGCTTTGGAGGAGTGTCTGTGACTCTACTGTTCACAGTAGTTTGTTAAACATCATGAAAGAAGCATCTTGATTTATCATGTATCTAAGTTGGGGCTTTAAAAAAGAGCTTTGGGGCCATAGAGTATTGAAATGTCCCATAAGTAGTTTCTCAAATCAGGATTTTGCTATCTTGTTATATCATGCTATGTTTTCTTATAACCTTATAACATGCTGTGTTTTCCTCCTTCCGTAGCTTCTCCTCTCTTGCTTTTTGCTAACCGAAGAGATGTCAGACTGGTGGATGCTGGAGGAGTGAAGATGGAGTCAACAATTGTTGTTAGTGGCCTGGAGGATGCTGCTGCAGTTGACTTCCTGTACTCACAGGGTGTTATTTACTGGACAGACGTGAGCGAAGAAGCCATCAAGCAGACTTACTTTAACCAAACTGGGAATCTGGTACAGAATGTTATTGTTTCGGGTCTGGTTTCCCCAGATGGCCTGGCTTGTGACTGGATTGGGAAAAAACTTTATTGGACAGATTCTGAAACAAATAGGATAGAAGTTGCTAATCTCAATGGAACATCTAGGAAAGTTCTCTTCTGGCAAGACCTTGACCAGCCAAGAGCAATAGCCCTGGATCCAGCTCATGGGTAAACTATCCTTTCTTTAATTTTTTTCCTTTGGTTTTCAGGATTATGGTTGTTTTGTTAGGAATTCTTGCCTCTGCAAAATGTAATCTGTTTCAAAATCATTTTTCTCAAGGTATTTTTCTTTGAACATGTTTTTAGATTCAGAGGGAAGATGCGAGAGAATGGCAAGCTGTATAAGAGTGCTACAACTAAAGTACTGAAGAAAACCTTTAATCTATCTCATTTTTTTCAGCTCAGGCCTCTCCGAAAGCTTACTACATGCATTTTTAATTTGCAGTTAACATAGCCAGTTAAAACTGATTAAGCAAGTTTTGTGTTTGAATGAATGGTAGGTCCAGTTCTTTAAATCTTAATCCTGACTAGTTATCAGATGTTATGCTGGGAAAAGAAAAATCAAGTAGCTTGAAGATGTAAATTGCTCTTTAATTGTTGACTGTTAAAAAAGTCTATGGTTGAACTGGCAAGATATCTGCTCAGCCTAAAGATCTTCTGCATTAGAGAGGAGAAGCAGACCATCTGCAAACTAGACGTTTAGTGAGACAGACGTTCGCCTGATCTGGCAGTGCCTTTGCAGTTTTATGACAAGCAAATGTGTGCTTGACTGTTACAGATTATTACATTAGTACATTTAAGTGCACTTTTGTGTCTGGTACAATAATGATATTAAGAAGAGACAGTCCAGCTAGATTGTAGTGTAGTAAATAAACAGGTGTGAGCAGAGGACTGAACTATTTAAAAGTTTTATTGAATTTCATCCTGTATTTATGGATTCCCCTTAACTTTATGCTTCAGACACTTACTGAAAACAGTTCATTAAATGTCCAGATTACTTTGATGCAGATTACTGTTAACATGTAGAGTGCAATCCTGTGTGCATTTACTAAGAAATAAATTTTACTGTGTTCCGTAAGGCTTTCTGCCAGAAAACTGATTGTAGGATTGCAGCCATGTTATTCCTATAGTATGTACTCAACAAAAAATATTTCACTAGCAGAGTTATTTCTGAAGCATGGAGGTTGGGATCTAAAATGCTATCCAGATATCTTTCTCTGTATGCCCTATTTCCTCCCTTTTGCCCCTATGTTTCTAGAACCTAGTTCTGAAATTTAGGAGACTTTCCTGAAGAGTATTTGATAAGGCATAAGAGGAGATGCTATGGAAGTCTTCCTGTGCAAAATGTCATGTAAGAGCAGAAAGGAAATAGCATGTATGAGCTTGCTTATGTGTTTTAACCATTCTTCAAATTAGCACTGTTGTTTTTTCACAGTTTTTCTTTGTGCGTGTGCTTGTAATGTGCAGGTCTTTTAATTATTTAAAACCACATGGCCTCTTTTCCTTCTCCCCTTTACCCCACTGGAGATTAGATATCATTGTGGTCATCCTAACCCTGGATGCAGCAACTCTAAACAGTGATGTTGTGTTGCAACCAAACTAGAATATTTTTCCCTTTTTTTGCATTTCTTGCATTTATTTCCCAAATGTCACAACCTATACTTTTCATTTCTCATTGTGTATTCTACTTTAATTGTATGTGTTTTATGATTTCTTGGTGTTTCCCCCCATTCATATTGTCATTTCTTTATTTGTCATCCTTACAGTCCAAGAAATCTTTAATGTCCTTAATAAATAGACATTTCAAATACTTCTGTATTTTTTATAATGGCCTGTGTTAAAGTACACAGTTCTATGTTGTATAATAGAGCCAAGAATACATAGTGGTGTGTCATGCATGCTCTAAAAACAGTTTTAAGAAGTTGCTCTGAGACACCTCTATTTTTTTTTAACTTTATAGCTATTATCTCACTGTTCCTTCAACCAAATTCTAGGGCATTTAAGTTTTCCAGAATACTCCATACTTTCATTTTGGATCTTTAAACTATCTCATTCTAAATAATTCCAAAGATAATTAAATGTAGTTGTATTTCACTATATGAACTTGCTTCAAACCATACCCATTGTGCAGTTTGATGTTGGTATAACTGCATCAAAATAAAACATCTGAATACATATATTTTGATTGACCAGACTTACTGAATGTGGTTGTGCTGCCATCTAGGAGTAGCTGATTTTCAAACACAGCTTTCCCCCTTTTTATGCGATTCGTTCACAACACTGTTGTTTACCTTCTGGCCCAGTTTCCACGGGACCTTCAGCAAACTGACATCTTATTTGATGTTGGTAATTAACCTGACTTCGCTTTAGAATGTTTTGTCCCTTTTTCTGGTAACTGAGGCCTTTCACTTTTAAAATGTACAGTATATCTTTTTCTCCATCAAAAAAGCAATGTTCAGGGCAGCTAACATCATATTAAATCAATAAAGAAAGCATGTCATCAAAACCAGATCAAAGAAAGAGGGACAGGCCATAGACAACAAAAATTTAAAAACAGGGAACCAGCTAAATAAAATTATTTAGCCTAGTAGGCTCAAACCTTGATGAAACAAAGATATCCTGGCCAAGTAGCAAAGGGGAAAGAGAAAGATGGGAGAAATGTGCATGGATTTTCCATGGGGGATATATCTAGGGTTCCACACACCCCATTCATTTGTGACATACAGGAGACACTTACAAAAGAGGAGTCTAGTATTGTAAACGACATTCTTACAAATACAGACGGGGGTATTTGTATACAAATACGAATATCCCCATGCAGCTGGACTTAATGAGGGTCCAGCCCCTGGGGCCAAACAGTCCACTCACACGTCTGGCACTGGCAGCAGCCTCGCTCATCCTTCCAATCACTCCTGGAGCCCCCCCCCCTCTTCTTGCTTGGCTGGCTACTCAGCAGCCATGCAGGGAGACTTGTCCTCCCTCCCTCTGCCTGGAGTGGCTAGCTGAGAGGGAAGAGAGCAGGGCTCCAGGAGTGATTGGAAGGATGAGCGAGGCTGCCGCCAGATGTGTGAGTGGACGGTTTAGCCCCAGGGGATATACTAATACCCCCATCTGTATTTACAAATATACTGCAGGAAAGCATAATTGTGTTGCAAGAATGTTCGTGGGAGAATTTTGTTATCCAGTTGGAGTTCCCTCACTTAGTGAATACATTTAATTTTGATGTGCATTCCATGTAAATTCCATGCTCTCTTATTAAAATGGCTTTTTTGCTTTTGGTTGATGAAGTCACTTTCAGCAAGATATGCAGTAGGACCGCTTTATCTGCTGGATTGGTAACCATGGTTTGCTGCAGCCCTTATATGCAACATAAAAAGGTGTTCCCCTATTTTTCTTCTTGCCCCCTTGCATGTAGTATATATAGGATTCCCTTCATATTCGTGGTTTCAGGCATTCATGGTAGATTGTTGAACTGATCCTCTTTGAATGTGGGGATCCTACTGTATTTGATTAGATTGTTTCACTTCCTGCATGCAGTGTTTTCTAAAACTGACTTTCCCATTCAGAGTGTGATGCCTTCAAAAAAGCTGACTTGTCCTTCTGGCTTCTCTGCTTTGGTCCTTTATGGGACTTGCTAAGATAGGCTGTGAAATATATCAGATACTGCTGCACGAGGTACCATTCTTGGCTTAGTGTTTTGAGAACTTCTTGAAAATCTCTCTCTCTCTCTCTCTCTCGTTCATACATCTCTCTGCTTTGCCTTGTAGTGGCTTTTGCAAAGTCTGGAGCTATGCGTAGCAGAGGGGAAATGCATAGCAGAGAAAATACGTGGCATCTTCTGTTGGCTACTGACACCAACTGTACCTTCTTCCTCTGTCAAGATGCTTCTGTTTCTTTTTGATCATTTTAGGGATACAGAACTCTTTAGTTGTGAGAAGTTCACACATAGATTCCTAGTGATGACACGGAGATAACAAGTGGCTTTGCATCCCTAAGAAATTGCAGGGTCTGAAAATAAAGTGGGTTTTAAGAAAGAAAGAAAGAAAGACCCAACTTCGCTTGTTCGAAACATTTCCAATGAAGCAATGAGTAAAGTTGGGGTAAACATCATTTTTGTAGAAATGTAATATATCTATGATAGAATACACTAATTTTCACAAAGAAAATATTGCAGCCCATTAATCAAAAACACACAACTCTGATAAATTCCTTATGTGTTTTTATTGCCCCAGAAAGCATATAAATGCGAGTAGATAAATAGGTACCACCATGGTGGGAAGGTAACAGTGTTCCATGTCTAGTGGCATTGGCCACATGACCATGGAAACGGTCTATGGATAAATGCTGGCTCTATGGCTTGGAGATGGGGATGAGCACCGTGCCCTAGAGTCGGACACGACTGCACTAAATGTTAAGAGAAACCTTTACCTTTTTAATATGCACAAACTTTTTTAAAGAGTAGCTTTAAAATGCTTACAAGACACCTTTTAAAAATAGTTAAGTCCTCCAATATAAATGTTACATATTGTGCCTTTTATATTTCAGTGGAAAATATTTTATTCGAACTATTGAATTGCCATCTCGCCTGGAACTATCATTATGAACCTTAAAAAAAGAGAATAGTAATAATAGATGGAGTGTAATGTTGAAGTCTTGAGTTCAGTTAAATTACAACTGAGGTATATTACAGTATTAGCATCCACACCCCACCCCAGGATGTTGTTATTTACAGAAAAGAAAGTACTTTTGTAGAAACATTTTAGAGTTTATTTTGGGGAAAATATTTCCATAAAGCGCTGTTTCCAAGTGCAAACACAAAACGTGTGGAATTCCTCTAAACAACTCTGCTGGCAAAGCTTGACTTGTAATTTGCAGTTGGATCAAGTGCCATGCAACATTCTACCACCCACTTGTAAAAGAGAAGCTCCTTTACAGTTTTTCCACCTTATGCTTTCAATATCTGCTGTACCATCTACTTTCAGACTTCTGGTTTTAATCTAACATTGGCCTAACATCTTGGGCAATGGATACAAGATTTGTTCTGCCAATGCATTGTCCTTTTCCCTAGCCAGCTCCCGGGCAGGTGGTCTTTTTTGCCTGGATTCTTGGCAATCATCAGTCAGACAGCCTTTGGTTTCCATTTATTTCACAGAATGGAGCACAGTGCT